TAGAGATGCAGCCCAAGGTTTTACTTTCCACTTATGGAAATTGTTTATAACAGTCAATGCTTTGATCTAGATCAGTGGTTCTCAACCTGTGGATCCCCAGATGTTTTGGTCTTCAACTCCCAGAAATCCTAACAACTGGTAAATTGGCTGAGATTTCTGGGACTTGTAGGCCAAAACATCTGGGGACCCATAGGTTAAGAACCACTGCCTTAAAAGTCTCCCTCTCCCTGCCCATTTGAGAATCTCTCCAAGGGCAGAGCCTGACAACAAGCTCTGTTAACTTCTCCAAAATCAGCTTTTTTTTGTGACTGGAAGGTGAAAAGAGAAGAAGGCCAGAAAATCTATAAAATAACACATCCTGTCAGAGCTGTATTCATGTCCAGTCAGAGCTGTATTAAAGTCCAGTCAGAGTTAAATATTGATACCATCTTCAAGACAGTTGAACACCATACAAGAAAGAGACAATAAAAAGAAATAAAGATTCAAGGCCCTCAGTTCGGCCAGAATTGTGTCTATCTCTCGGAGACTTTACCTCTCCTCATGAAGACTTTGTAGTGAGACTCAGGAGGAGAGAAAGTCTAAAATTCTTGTCAGTTAATAAACTCTTGATTGATTCAACTATATAGTCTCTGATCTCTGTTCCCTGCATAACCTGTTCAAATTCCAAGTAGTTAAGATAGCTTGGGAGCAGAACATCTACGTTGTAAATCTTATTTTTTGATCATCATTCATCTCCTGTAATTTTTTTCCTCAAACTTGTCCTTTAAAATAATATTCTCATTGAGAATTTTAAAAATACATGAAAAAATACAAAAATTAAAGAAAAGAAAAAAGAAGCCAAAAAATCTTCCTTTTGATTGTTATATATGCACATATATTTATTTATCTCTCCCTTTAAACATCACCATAAATTATTTTCTTTCAAATGTCTAATCATTTTAATCAGGACCCAAAATCACCAATTTGTTTTCTTTTTCTTTTTGCAAATCTTTCAAAGTAATAAGCTCTGGCTTCTTGATATGTGTTGGGCTGCACTTACATAAACATTACTGAATACAGAACTTGTGAGAAATTCTGCATAGTACTGATTGTTAATTGCCTTATTCAAATTCAATTCATCTACTCCCATTAATCTTTCTCCTGTCTCAGCACTTTTTGTTATAGTTACTTCTCTTTTATCTCTCATGAAAAAAGTCTGTTTGATTTTCAAAAGTGCTGTCAAACGCCTTCTGAAGATCTAATTGTTTGTTTGATGGTTTACATGAGAGGTAGCTCTTTTGTAAGACAAATTTGCTTTTTGCTAAATACTAGCCCTTAAAAAACCTTTGAGGAATCAAATTATAATTGTTCTGATGTGAAGTTGATGCTTAAATGGTTAAATAATCAGACAGATTTAACTGAAACTGGCTCAATGATTGACAGGACTCTTAGGTGTGCTCTCTAATGCTCCCCTCCTGTGTTTTTTTTTTTTGGGGGGGGGTGTTATGTAGTGGCAACAAGTGACTAACTTGGAGCCACCATGAAAACATCCTATAATTCCTTAAATCATAAAGTAGAAAAGAGAAGTCTTCTCAGAAGAGAAGTCTGAGAAGAGACATGATGACCATGTGAGAGGAGGAGGGAGCAAGCTTGTTTTCTGCTGCCCTGGAGACTAGGATGTGGAAAAATGGCTTCAAACTACAGGAAAGGAGATTCTACCTGAACATGAGGAAGAACTTCCTGTGAGAGATGTTCAGCAGTGGAACTCTCTGCTCCAGAGTATGGTGGAGACTCCTTCTTTGGAAGCTTTTAAACAGAGGCTGGATGGCCATCTGTCAGGGGTGATTTGAATGTGATTTTCCTGCTTCTTGGCAGGGGGTTGGACTGGATGGCCATGAGGTCTCTTCAATCTCCATGATTCTAGTATAGAGTGATACTACATCTGGGCTACCCTGCAGTGTTACATACAGTGTTACATACAGTGTTACAGCAGTGCAGCAGGCGACCGGGGCCGCCTTCCACCTGGAAACCAATGCCCTCACTGTGGGAAAAGATGTAGATCAAGAATAGGGCTCCACAGTTACCTACAGACCCACCGCCAGAACATCGACCTTGGAGGACCATCGTCCTCGGTCTATGAAGGATCGCCTAAGTAAGTAAGTTACATATATAACTATATTTATACTATAAAGGTTCCATGGTCAGTTCTTACTGTTGCTACTTGGTCCTTATACAGATTCCTCAGGAGACAGATAAGGTGATTTGGTATCCCCATACCACCAAGAACTTGCCACAAATTTTTATTATGATCCACACATAGTCAAAGGCTTAAAGCTACCTTTATAGTATGTTTGTTGTTTATTCGTTCAGTCGCTTCTGACTCTGTGAGCTCTAGGACCAGCCCACACCAGAGCTCCCTGTCACACGTCACCACCCCGAGCTCCTTCAAGGTCAAGCCAGTCACTTCAAGGATATCATTCATCCGTCTTGTTCTTGGTGGGGCCCTCTTCCTTTTTCCTTCCATTTTCCCCAGCATCATTGCCTCCTCTAAGCTTTCCTGTCTTCTCAAAGTACTTCATCTTTGCCTCTAATATCCTTCCATCCAGTGAGCAGCAGGGCTTTATTTCCTGGAGTATGGACTGGTTGGATCTTCTTGCGGTTCAGGCACTCCCAGAACTTTCCTCCAACACCACAGTTCAAATCTTCCTTCACTCAGCCTTCCTTATGGTCCAGCTCTCACATCCATAGGGTACTACAGGGAATACCATTGCTTTAACTATGCGGATCTTTATTGCCAGTGTGATGTCTCTACTCTTCACTATTTTATCGAGAATGATCATTGCTCTCCTCCCAAGAAGGAAACCTTTTCTGATTACCTAGCTGCAGTCTGCCTCTGCAGTAATATTTGCACCTAGAAATACAAAGTCTCCCTCTATTTGCCAGTTATCGATCAGTCTGGCTGCCATCATCTTGGTTTTTTTATGTTTAATTGAAACCCTGCTTTTGCACTATCTTCTTTCACCTTGGTTAGAAGGCTTTCCGCTCAGCTGAAAGTGAGGAGCAGCTCTTTTTTTTTCTGGTAGTAGAAACAACTTGAGAAACTGCAAGTTGCTTCTAGTGTGAGAGAACAGGCAAGGATGTTGCCCAGGGGACACCCAGATATTTTGATGTTTTACCATTTTTGTGGGAGGCTTCTCTTATGTCCCCGCATGGGGAGCCGGAGCTGACATCAGGAGCTCATCCACGCTCTCCCTGGATTCGAACCTGCGACAGGCAGGACTGAAGACCCACAGGTCGCAGGTTCGAATCTGGGGAGATTGCGGGATGAGCTCCCTCTGTCAGCTCCAGCTCCCCATGAGGGGACAAGAGAGAAGTGTTCCACAAGGCTGATAAAACATCAAAAACATCAAAACATCCAGGCATCCCCTGGGTAACATCCTTGCAGATGGCCTGCTCTTTCACACCAGAAGCGACTTGCAGTTTCTCAAGTCGCTTCTGACATGAAAAAAAAGCTCCTCCTCTCTTTCAGCCATAACATAACATGTCAAAGAATTACAGTTATGAAGTAGAAACTATAATAATTGGGTGATAATATGATAGCTGGGTCCGGAAGCTCCGAGCGAGATGTCGTGAAGGCAGCTGTGAATAAGGGAAGAGATGGGGTGAAGTGTGAGTGGGGAGAGTGAAGGAAGGATAGGAAGGAGGGGACACTTAGGGTAAGGGTTAGGGCAAGGTTTAGGATTTGGGTTAGGGGTTCCAGTTAGGGTACGGGTTCAGGGTTAGGGTTTCACCATTAAAGAACTCAGTGATAGTATGATAGCTGGGTTTGAAAGCTCCGAGCACTATGCACATTCCACAATGGTGGTTGTGAATAAGGGAGAGTGGCACACTGAGGGTGGGAATATACTTCGTAGTTGCATTTGGTGGAAGGAAAGAAAGGAGGGGAGGGTTAGGATAAGGTTTAGAATAAGGTTTAGGGAAAGGTTTAGGGTTAGGATTAGGGTTAGGAGTTAGGCTTAGGGTAAGTTTTACGGTTACGGTTTGCGTTAGGGTTAGGATTAGGGTTAGGGTTCGGGCTAGGGTTTTACCATTAAAGAACTCTTACATTCAGTCACATGTTCCATTCTGTGTTGCACAAACAGCGCTCCCAAAGGAGTGAAGCGGCAACATGTAACGCTCAGAGTTTCCGGACCCAGCTATCATACTATTACCAAGAACTCTTTCATTTCTTCTATCTGGGAGTTATCCTGGATCGTGCTACAAGAAACATTGCTCGAATATCAAGCAAAAAGTGGGTGCTAGAAACAATATCAAACGAAAGCTGACTGGCACAACCTGGGGATCAAAACCAGACACAGTGAAGACATCTGCCCTTGCGCTATGCTACTCTGCTGCTGAGTATGCACGCCCAGTGTGGAACACATCTCACCATGCTAAAACAGTGGCTGTGGCTCTTAATGAGACATGCCGCATTATCACGGGGTGTCTGTGCCCTACACCACTGGAGAAATTACACTGTTTAGCTGGTATTGCACCACCTGACATCCGCCGGGAAGTAGCAGCCAATAGTGAAAGGACCAAGGCAGTGACATCCCTGACCCACCCTCAGTTTGGGTATCAGCCAGCACGCCAATGACTCAAATCAAGAAATAGTTTTCTAAGATCTACAGAGACACTCTCTGGATCACCTCAGCAAGCGAGAGTCCAAAAGTGGCAAGCCAAAACCCAGAACCTCAATCCATGGCTGATACCAAATGAGAGACTCCCTCCTCCTGGGCACACAGAAAACTGGGCGACTTGGAAGGCGCTGAACAGACTGCGTTCTGGCACCACGAGATGCAGAACCAACCTTAAGAAATGGGGCTACAAAGTGGAATCCACGACATGCGAGTGTGGAGAAGAGGAAGAGCAAACCACTATTGCAATGCAACCTGAGCCCTGCCACATGTCCTTTGACCAGTAGCTGGCCACTTGGAGTGCCTCCGGGAGGCGGGGTCACCACAACATGAGAAACACGGGCCCGGTCGCCGCTGAACTCGGCTTGGCAAGAGGCGGGTCGGCTTTCCTTCCTCTTCCCCTTCCGAGGCGGGCGGGATCTCTGCTTTTTGGGGGCGGAGGCTGAAGTTCTCGGGGGCCGGCTTCTTCTTCTTCTTCGTCCTTCCTTCCTTCCTCTCTTCTTCCCGCCCTCGCTTTCCTATCGCCAGTTCCTGGCAGCGATGCCCACCTGGAGCAAACCCTGGCTCCTCCGGGTCCTGATGCGGCTTCTGCTGCTGCTGTTGGGGATGTGCGCCTCCTCCTCCTCCTCCTCCTCCTCCTCCCTGGGCGCCCCACAACAGCCCCCTCCGCACCTGGTTGTGGTGCTGGCCGACGACTTGGGCTGGCAGGACGTGGGTTGGCACGGCTCCCAAATCCGCACCCCGGCCCTGGACGCGCTGGGCGGCGAGGGGATCCGCCTGGAGCGCTACTACACCCAGCCCCTCTGCACCCCCTCCCGCAGCCAGCTGCTCACCGGCAGGTACCAGGTAAGGCTGGCCCATCTTCCCTGCAGAATGCACGCGGCTTGACTCTGCCTTCACTGCCGTGGCTCAAAAGTATATCACAGGCATGGGGAAGCGTGGGCCCTCCCGCCAAGTGTTTTGGACTTCAACTTCCAGTATTCCTAACAGCCTCAGCAGCCCCCTTCCTTTTCCCTCTCAGCCGCTTAAGTACCGAATCCATCTATTATTTGCATTACATCCAAAGGGTTTGGGGTTTATTGTCCAAGGCTTTCATGGCTGGAATCACTGGGTTGTTGTAGGTTTTTCGGACTATATGGCCATGTTCTAGAACAGCGATTCTCAACCTGTGGGTACCCAGGTGTTTTGGCCTACAACTCCCAGAAATCCCAGCCAGTTTACCAGCTCTTAGGATTTCTGGGAGTTGAAGGCCAAAACATCTGGGGACCCACAGGTTGAGAACCACTGTTCTAGAAGCATTATCTCCTGACGTTTTGCCTGCATCTGTGGCAAGCATCCTTAGAGGTAGTGAGGTCACAATCTCTGAGGATGCTTGCCATAGATGCAGGCAAAATGTCAGGAGAGAATGCTTCTAGAACATGGCCATATAGTCCAAAAAACCTACAACAACCCAGTGATTCTAGCCATGAAAGCCTTCGACAATACACCTAGACAGGGGTAGGGAACCTTTGGCCCTACAGCTGTGGTGGACTTCAACTCCCACAATTCCTTGAGGCTCGGCATTGGGCCAAGGTAAGCCTTGGGGCGAATGCCGAGCCTCAAGGAATTGTGGGAGTTGAAGTCCACCACAGCTGGAGGGCCAAAGGTTCCCTACCCCTGCTCTAGAACATGGCCATATAGCCCGAAAAAACTTACAACAACCTCAGGAGGGAATGCTTCTAGAACATGGCCATATAAACCCGAAAAACCTACAACAACCCAGGTTTGGGGTTTGTTTTGGTTTCTTAGCAAAATGGGTAATAATAATAATAATAATAATAATAATAATAATAATAATAATAATGTTTGTGTTTTGGAACACAATACACCAGACATCATGATTGTGGAAAAGAAAAAAGTCTGGATTATTGATGTCACCATACCAGGTGACAGTTGCATTGAGGAAAAACAACAGGAAAAACTCAGCCGCTACCAATACCTCAAAATCGAACTGCAAAGACTCTGGCATAAACCAGTACAGGTAGTCCCAGTGGTCATTGGCGCACTGAGTACCGTGCTAAAAGATCTCAGCCGGCATTTGGAAACAATAAACATCAACAAAATCACAATCTGTCAACTGCAAAAGGCCACCTTACTTGGATCTGCGTGCATCATTCAAAAATACATCACACAGTCCTAGACGCTTAGGAAGTGTTCAACTTGTGTTTTTCTTATACGAAATCCAGCATATAGATCTTGTTTGCTGTGACATACTGTGCTTTTGTGTCAGTAAAATAAATTATTTAATTATTAAAATTATATATATATATATATATATATATATATATATATATATATATATAAAATATTACTGCAAAGACTCTGGCATAAGCCAGTCAAGGTGGTCCCAGTGGTGATCAGCACACTGGGTGTAGTGCCTCAAGAATTTGGCCTGCACTTAAACACAATCGGCACTGACAAAATTACCATCTGTCAGCTGCAAAAGGCCACCCTACTCAGATCTGCACACATTATTTGCTGATACATCACATAGTCCTAGACACTTGAGAAGTGATCCGACGTGTGATCCAATACAACAGCCAGCAGAGTGACCTTATTTGCTGTGTACTAATCTTTTTGTGTTTCTAATAATAATAATAATGTTACTGTGTGCAAATCAATGTGAATGTAATACTTGCACCACATACATAATGCACTATATATAACAGACATGGGCCAACTTGGGCCCTCTAAGTGTTTTGAACTTCAACTCCCACCATTCCTAACAGCCTCAGGCCCCTTCCTTTTCCCCCCTCAGCCGCTTAAGTGGCTGAGGGGGAAAAGGAAGGGGCCTGAGGCTGTTAGGAATGGTGGGAGTTGAAGTCCAAAACACCTGGAGGGCTGAAGTTTCCCCATGCATGTAGATGCATCCTCAGTAGTTTGAAGGAAGATTGAAGTTTGGGAATGGTATTTCTGGAGCTGTATGAACTCTTCTGCTTCTTCATGTTCAAAGTTATTGGTCCACAGCATTTAGGAAGATGGCATCTACTTCCTGGTTTCAGATGAACCTGAAGGTTTTTAAATTTTTATAACAAACCATAGCAAAGGTCGCTGGTTGGGAAGTGCTATCAGGTTAATCAGGATTAGGTTTAGGGAGACCTCTAGTGGTGTTTGAAACTATCTCAGAATGATTGCAGGATTGTGAATAAAACTAGCAAGGAGGTTTGTGGGACTTTACAAAAGACAGCAAAAGACTTTATCAGATGCAGGAAGTTTTATGCAATGTTCATCCCATGCGTAAAGTGTATGTTAGCACATATACGTATATTAGCACTATATGTACACACAATAGACATGGTTGATAGAATTTGGAATTTAGAAGGATTACACTGCCACCAGCAATTCGAAAACATGCAAATGTGAGTACATCAATAGGTACCTCATCGGCGGGAAGGTAATGGTGCTCCATGCTATCATGCCGGCCACATGGCCTTGGAGCTGTCTATGAACAACGCTGGCTCTTCGGCTTAGAAATGGAGATGAGCACCATCCCGCAGAGTCAGACACGATTAGACTTAATGTCAAGGCGAAACTTTTAGCTTTGCCTTATACAGATGGTGTTACTAACAGGCTACCTTATTTCTTCAGTTCTAATACATACTTTCCTCCCATATAAGCATCTCTAAAAATGGGATGCATTTTAGAAGTGTATGTATGTATGTATGTATGTATGTGTGTGTGTGTATATATGTATATATATATATATAGGTGTATACACACATATACATACATGCACACACACACACACACTGTTGGTATGTGTTTACAATTGATGGTGTCTTCCAATCAAAGAAATGCATGTAATTATTTTATTAATAATAGAAGCACTTTGCCATGAGATTAGATAATACATGCAGATTAGAAAATATTACTATTGAAACTTATGGCTCTTCCTAATTCAGCACCCACTCGTTGTAATGCCTCTTTACTATGGGTCATTTTCTCCTACACTTCTGTAGCCTTCTACAGAAAATAACTTATAATTGGAAACACTGTATTTGGCTTGTTTTTCCTGTTAGAAAAACCCTTAGTAATACGTTTCTTCGGTCATGTTCAGGACAAATGAAGGCAAAGAGGAGCCAGTACAAAATTACCAAGACCCAACCATTTTTATCTATTTATTTCTTGTCAATATAATAATTGGTCTTCTTGGGTCCTGTACCAGGAGAAAGCCAGGATATTTGTTAATTAATAAAATAAATAATTGCCAGGAAAACACAAGACCTCCACTAATGATGGAGGGAGTTGGAAACAGAGGTCTAGAGGTGATCAGTCTACTGTGACCCCAGCAACCTAGAAGAGGGGCAGTAGCAGTGGCAGCTTTATCTATACCCCATTTTATCTCCCCAAAGGGGACTGACTCTAAGCAGCTGTGGCACCTTTTACATTGCTATATAAAAACCGGATTATCTGCTTTGAACTGGATTATCTGGCAATGTAGAAGGGGCCTATGTCTCCACCTTCATGGGCCAGGTGAGAAGACCTGTTCCTCAATCTTCGAAATTCCAACCTCTGAAAATAGCTCAAGAGCAGTCATTGATGAACTTGGACCCTCCAGGTGTTTTGGACTTCAATTCCCAACATTCCTAATGGCCTAATGGCCCTTAAGCGGCTGAGGGGGGAAAGGAAGGGGGCCTGAGACCATTAGGAATGGTGGGAGTTGAAGCCCAAAACACCTGGAGGGTCCAAGTTTGCCCATGCCTACTCTTGAGCATCTCCTAGCTGTCCAGATTTGCTGTCAAGGAGGTGGTTGGTAGGAAAGTCTCTCATTGTGGATGTCTATGACTGTGAGTTCCTTCTGTCCCCAAAAAAGATTCAAAGGGTTTGGGGGGAATATGTGAACATCTGGGTCCTGGACAAGAAAAATCACCAATACTCAGAACCCATGATCAATAGACTTGGTGATGCTCTTCCATCTCACTTCAGGAAATAAAAATATCACCAATTGGGGGGGGGGGGGGGGGGGTAGTGGAATAACAGTAAAGGTGAAAGGAAAATAACCACTAATTAAAATAAACAAGTGCTTTTAGGCAGTTCTTCTGATTTAACTTGTCTTTTATTTGTGCCTATTGCTATATTAGATTCTGAGATTATTTTTTAAGGTTGACGTGTACCTTTTTACTAGGAAGCTTGAGGTTTGGGATAGTTGGAAGGAGAAAAAGCAAAAGGAAGTTTGCAACTAGTGGTATAGCTTACAAAAGCAGATATTTCAGCAACTGATTAGTTTCTTTTAACACTCTGACACGTTTCTTCATCAAAGACAATGTGTCCCCCTTTGCAGTGGGAATGGAAGTAGATAACCACACCTACTCTTCATTCATGTCATGATCTAACTATTGACATGTTAACAACTAAGAGAGCACACCAAAGAAGCCCCTACATTCCCCATACAAGTGTATAGGACCCAAAGCCAGCAAAGGTGTTTCGGCACATCATGGAGAAATTATTTTTATTTTTATTATATTTATTTATACTCTGCTTTATCTCTCATGAAGAAGACTCAAAGTGGCTTAACATAATAGCATTAGCATACAATTGGAGGCACTGTGGTGTAATGGCTTAAACCCTTGTGCCGGCTGAACTGCTGATCGAATTTACGAGATGTCAGCTCCAGCTTCCCATGCAGGACATGAGAGAGTTCTCCCACAGGATGGTAAAACATCTGGGTGTCCCCTGGGCAATGTCCCTGCAGACAGCCAATTCTTTCACCAGAAGCGACTTGCAGTTTCTTAAGCTATCTGACACAATAACAAAAAAGTATACAATTTGAAATATACAAATATGCAAACATTAAAATAGAATTAAAT